GTCATCTGGCTGACTGTTGGTGACCTGCCTTGCTGTTTGCTGCCTGTCCCCGGATAGCCTGAATTGCTCTACATAGGCCTTACAGAGTCCCTCAAGACTTGAAGGACTGCCAGTGTCTCACAACTGTCTCACGGGAATGAGTTGGACTGAGCCATTTGTACTGCTTTACAATGTAATTAACTGTTTCTTATGTGATCTATCTATCTGTATGAAATTATTAGCATTGTGGTTTTGTTTCTCTAGAGAGCCCTAACACAAAGACGGTGATGAGTATACTGGTTTTCAGTATTCCAGAGCCATGTTTTGTTCTTCCTGAAGGCAAACTTCTGTTCACTAAAGAACACTTCTACTCCGATGCTGGAGGCTGGCAAGTGGACCCCGGACTCATAGAATGACTCCGTAGGGTTTTCTTCTCCTTCTTTTGATATGATTTCTGTGTAAGTAGTTTTCCAGGCCCTATTTCTACAGAGCCAAAGGGTGGGTTTGAATTGCCAACCAGTGGGTTCGCAGCCGATGGCAAACTGCCCGGCCACCCCATCCTCCTATTCCTGTTCTCCAAACCCACTGTCATTGAGTCGATTCTGACTCATAGTGACTCCTGAGGATGGATAGGACTGCTCCCGGGGGCTTCAGAGCCTGTAAACCTTTCTGAGAACAGAGAGCCTCCTCTTTCTTCTGTGGATCGACTGGGAGTTTCAAACTGCTGACCTCGCCGTCAGAAGGTCAGAATGTAACCCACTATGCAGGCAGGGCACCTCCTCCTCTTCTTAAGTCATATAGTTTCCCATAAGTGCTGCCTGTATATCAGTGATACTTAGCCTGCAACGTGAACATTAAGACTGACCATTATTCTCTTACCTAAAGGACTGTGGGTTGCTCTTTAGTTCATCAAGTTACTCAACTTTGCTTGGAGTTCCCAAGCTCCGATAGGAACAACCTTTGGTCTTCAGGGCCAATCGATTTGTTTCTAAGAGGAAGGTTCGAGACTCAAGGGATGGCCTATCTATGGATACAATGTTCTTAATTGGCACAGAGGGTGACTCCCCCTCTTTGAAACTAAGCTTAGACTCACCCGGTGAGCTTGTTGAAATGTTGGTGCCATGCCCCACTCTGAGCAGCTGAGTTAGTTGCATGGGGCTGCGCCAAGAATCTGAATTTTAAATAAACACTGCAGATCATTCTGAAGTGGGAGGGCCTCGCCAAACTTCCAAGGACTCGACGCCAAGACCTCTTCCAATGCAGGACGTGCAGTTCCATCCAGGTGATGATGTCTCAGGAAATTGCCCTTGCAAGCCCATCGGACCTCCTGGGTCCTCCAACTTCTCTGAGAGTTTAATCTTCCCAACCAGGAATCTGCGCTCACTAGACCATTAGACGTGGTGTCAGCTGCTACCGAGGCAGACCCTGACTCTCGGTGACTCCATCCATGTGCAATGGAAGGAAGCTTGACCTGCTCCTGCGCCAGCCCCATGATGGGGGTGGGTCAGACCACTACGATCCCTAAGGGCTTGCTGGCTGATTTTTTTCTTTTTAATGTATACCATCAGAGCTTTCTTTCTAGTCCATCCTAACCTAGAGGCTCATCAAAGCTCATGGCAACATTCCAGCCTCTAATGACAGATGGTGGTGGTGATGGAGGTAGTGGTGGTGGAAGTGGTGGTGGTGG